TTAATATTCATCCAGATACACAAATGAATATTTTCTTTGATGGGCTTAATCCTACATCCAAAAGCCATGTTAATGCCTCAGCTGGGGGTTCATTGTCAAATAAATTTGCAAGAGAAGCATTTGAATTATTTGATACAATAGCTACAGAATCTCAACAATGGGCAGCAGAACATTCACAGAAAAGGGGCATTTTTGAGTTATCAGCAGGTTCTCCTAATATGTCTGCACAAATGGAAAAAATGGAGAAGAAAATTGATGCCAAGTTTTTATATTATTCTACAACAGATAGCAAATTCTACACAGCAGCAGCCACCTGCAACAACAATTTGCACTATCTGCAGCATGGCTACACACAACATATTGGGCTGTCCACATAAAGACTCTTACCCAGAGCTTGTGGAGCAACATGTTAATATGATGAACAGCTATCAAAGGCCTAGGAATGATGCATATGCAACTCATTACAATCCAGGATGGAGGGATCATCCTAATTTCAAATGGGGTGATAATCAGAATAATTCAAAACCATTCCAGCATGTACAAAAAACCTTTTGTGCCATCAAAACCATCCTTGGAAGATCAACTTTCTAAACTGGCAGCTACAACACAAACATTCATGGAAGGCAGCAATCAAAGAATTCAAAATGTTAAAGCATCAATTAAAAGTTTGGAGCAACAATTTGGGCAGCTAGCTGCACAGATTTCAGACAGAGAAAAAGGCAAATTTCCTAGTCAAACAGTGCCTAATCCAAGAGGACATGAAGATTGCAATGTTGTTCGATTTTACGGTGTGGAAAAAGTTATGACAAACGTGCAAACTGTACTGAACAAAATCTGCCTACAATGCCAATTACTGCAGAATCTGAAATGCTAGCAGCAGAACCTGACAAATCTGCAGAAAAACAGAATCTACACAGTACAGAAACAGTCCCAAAACAGATTTCTCAGCGTGTTTATGACCCTCCACTGCCTTACCCTGAACGTGTAATTCCTAAAGCAAGAGATTAGCAACTCAAAGATTTTATGCAGACATTTTCCAAGGTTCAAATCAACATTTCATTGCTGGATGCAATCAAGAAAATACCAGCATATGCCAAATTTCTAAAAAGAGTTTGCAGCAGCAAAAAGAAGCTTGCAGATTTAGACAAAGTTGTTTTGACTGAACAGCACAGTGCAGTTTTGCTACACAAACTGCCACCTAAGAAAAAAGATCCAGGGAGTTTTAATATTTCTTGTACTATTGGAAATTCTAATTTTAAAAGTGCTTTAATTGATTTGGGTGCGAGTATTAATTTGATGCCTTTTTCTGTTTTCCAGCGTTTGGGACAAGGAGATTTAAAGCCTACATCAATTATACTTCAACTAGCTGACCGTTCAATCACTTATCCAATAGGTGTTATTGAAGATCTTATTATTAAGGTTGATAATCTTTATCTACCGGTGGATTTTGTGGTTTTAGACATGGATGAAGACCTTCAAACACCTATCATTTTGGGGAGGCCGTTTATGGCAACAGCTAGAACTTTAATTGATGTGGAAGTTGGAACGCTAACTTTACGAGTTCAAGACCAATATGTGGTATTTAATTTGTTTGAGGCAGCAAAACGTCCTGCTGAACAACAAGATTGTATGCGCATTGATGTGTTAGACAGTATGGTTCAAGATAGTTTTTATGCCAGCTCAAATACAGATCAGTTGCTGCACGTTTTACAAGGGGAAATTGGAACAGATTCTGAAGATGAAGGTGTTCTTGAGTAAATTCACGCATTGGATAGTCTGCCCACACAGTTGCCAAGGTTTAGAAATGTTTACGAGAGCTTAGGGGAGCCAAAACAGCCCCTTAAGCATTCCAGACAGCAGCCCCCAAAATTGGAGCCGAAGCCCTTACCAGAACATTTAAAATATGCACATTTAGGGGCTGCAGAAACGCTGCCAGTTATAGTTGCAGCTGATTTAACTCCCACAGAGGAAGATTAATTGCTTCGTGTTTTGAGGAAATATCAAGATGCACTAGGATGGACAATTGCCGACATCTAGGGTATTAGCCCAGCAATCTGTATGCACATAATTTTAATGGAAGACGACGACGTGAAGCCAACAGTTGATGCTCAACGCCATCTTAACCCAATTATGAAAGAGGTGGTCAGAACAGAGGTTATGAAATTACTTGATGCAGGTATGATTTATCCTATTTCAGACAGTAAATGGGTGAGTCCTACGCAGGTTGTTCCTAAATGTACTGGCATGACAGTAGTTAAAAATGACAACAATGAGCTTATTCCTACGCGCTTAACTACAGGCTGGCGTATGTGTGTGGATTATAGGAAGCCAAATGCAGGTACACGAAAATACCATTTTCCTCTACCGTTTACTGACCAAATGTTAGAAAGATTGGCTGGCAGGGCTTTTTATTGTTTCTTGGATGGCTATTCTGGGTACAATCAGATTCCAATTGCACCAGAGGATCAAGAGAAGATAACATTTACATGCCCATTTGGGACATTTGCCTATCGGAGGATGCCATTTGGATTATGCAATGCACTCGCCACTTTTTAGCGTTGTATGATGAGTATCTTTTCTGGCTTGGTTGAAAGAATTGTGGAAGTTTTTATGGATGATTTTTCTGTGTTTGGAGATTCATTTGATCAGTGCCTACATAATTTGTCATTAGTTCTTGAGAGATGTCAAGAAACAAATTTAGTGCTGAATTGGGAAAAATGTCATTTTATGGTGAAACAGGGAATTGTTTTGAGTCATTCAATTTCTAGCAAAGGCATTGAAGTTGACAAAGCTAAAATTGATGTGATTGCAAGGTTGCCACCCCCTACATCAGTAAAAGGTGTTAAATCGTTTTTGGGACATGCAGGATTTTATCGTCGGTTCATCAAGGATTTCTCCAAGATCAGCCGACCTTTGTGCAATTTATTGGCTAAAGATGCACCATGTAATTTCGATGAGGCTTGCTTAGAAGCGTTCAACAAGTTGAAATCACTCCTAACTTCGGCACCCATCATTGCTGCACCAGATTGGGGTCTACCATTTGAATTAATGTGTGATGCTTCAGATTATGTTGTTGGGGCAGTTTTAGGACAGCGGAAAGACAAGCTTCCCCATGTCATTTATTATGCAAGTCGTACACTCAATGATGCACAGCTTAACTATGCTACCACAGAGAAAGAATTGTTGGCAGTTGTGTTTACCTTAGAGAAGTTTCGGTCTTATTTGGTTGGGGCTAAGATAATTGTTTATACTGATCATGCTGCATTAAAATACTTGTTGTCTAAGAAGGATGCAAAGCCTAGGTTGATTCGTTGGGTTCTTTTACTTCAAGAATTTGACCTCGAGATTAAAGACAAGAAGGGTAGTGAAAATGTGGTGGCTGACCATTTATCCAGATTAATTATTCCAGTAGCTAAGGAGGTAGATTCTCTACCATTGAGTGAGAGTTTTCCAGATGAGCAGCTCTTTGCTGCCCAAATTCATACACCCTGGTTTGCTGATCTTGTTAATTATTTGGCTACGGGTGTTGTGCATACCGATTTTTCATTTCAGCAGAAAAAGAAGTTTTTGTCTGATGTCAAGCATTATTTCTAGGATGAACCATACTTATATAAGTACTGTCCCGACTAGATTATTCACAGGTGCATTCCTGAGGTTGAACAAGACAGTGTTTTGCGTTTTGCTTTTTGCTCATCAGTATGCATGTGGGGGACATTTTGGACAGAAAAGGACATCAGAGAAAATTCTGCAAAGTGGGTTGTTTTGGCCTACATTATTTAAAGATGCAAATAATTGGTGCAGAGCTTGTGACAGGTGTCAAAGAGTCGGCAACCAATCCAAGAGGAATGAGATGCCCCAGCAAAGTATTCTAATTGTTGAGTTATTTGATGTTTGGGGTATTGATTTCATGGGACCATTCCCATCATCTCACGGGAATCAGTACATTTTAGTTGCTATGGAATATGTTTCTAAATGGGTCGAGGCCATTGCAACACCAACTAATCAAGGATCAGTGGTACTGAAATTCCTCCAGGGGGTTATATTTCCACGTTTTGGAATTCCACGTGTGATTCTTAGTGATGGGGGGAAGCATTTTATTAATAAACCGTTTGATGCTTTATTAGCAAAGTATGGGATTACTCATCGCGTGGCCACACCTTATCATCCACAGACCTCTGGTCAAGTGGAAGTTTCAAACAGAGAATTAAAGCGGATTTTGGAGAAAACAGTTGGCTCTACACGTAAGGATTGGAGTTTAAAATTAAATGACACGCTGTGGGCTTACAGGACAGCTTTTAAAACCCCAATTGGGATGTCGCCATTTAGACTTGTGTATGGGAAAGCATGTCATTTACCTATGGAACTAGAGCACAAGGCGTTTTGGGCCATTAAGGAGCTAAATTTTGCATATGATTCAGCTGGGGAGAAGCGTAAGTTGGAGCTCAATGAGCTCTATGAGATTCGTAATGATGCATATGAAAGTTCAAAAATCTACAAAGACAAGACTAAGGCATTTCATGACAGTAAAATCCTTCGCAAGGAATTTTACACAGGGCAAAAGATGTTGTTTTTCAATTCCAGATTAAAGTTGTTTCCTGGCAAACTTAAGTCACGTTGGACAGGGCCATATGTGGTCACTAAAGTTTATTCGCATAGGGCTGTGGAGATAAAAAATGAGGTCACAGGTCATGAATTCAAGGTCAATGGTCACAGGCTCAAACCATACTTGGAATCACCCTATAACAGCACGCGAGTCATTAACTATGAGGGATCCAGTGACTTAGCCACCAGATTTCTGCAACGTCTAGCTACAGACTTTAAATAAAGCGCTTATTGGGAGGCAACCCAACTTTCTAACTTTTTCTTTACTTTGTTTCATTTTTCTTTCATTACTTTCAATTTCTAGATGCATTTAAATTCCTAGACTGTATTTCATGTTCTTTAAAATAAAAAAGAACAAAAAAAACAAAACAAAACATTCTTTGCTTTTACTTGTTTTATTTTACCGATAGTATCTTCTACATTTTTATCTCTGATTTCAACACCTAATTTTTATGCAGCCAGCAAACAAGATAAACAAAACATAATGCACATAGAGAACATTTTAGACGGAATCATACATCCAGTAGCAGATATGTCATATACAAGCAGGGATGTGATGTTATACCTCTCTATTTTGCTAAGCGGCCATTCTTCAGCGTAAGCTAATGGTTTTGTCATCACGTTTCCTTTGCCGATCTGGGGTATTTTCCCTGCAACAGAACAATCAAGTGTATGAGTTCCAGTGGAAATAGGTGTATCAATTTGGGGGTCATCATTGGTGGAGAACAAAATTTTTACCTCTGCATGCCTTAGGTCCGAAATGTCGTCTCTGTTGCCGTGTCTTTGCTCCTATCCAGCATCTAGCTCAAGCACTTTTGCACACCAACGAGACACATAGCTTATACATTTGCATGGTGGAGTTATAGGCGACATGGAAATCACCACACTACGATAGTTGGTGTGAAGATGTGTACCTCTGTGGGATGATTGGAGCTGCACTGTGCATCATTTCTATGGCAGACACTAACTGGTTTCGGATTTTGCTGACAATCCGAATGCGTGGTGTACATCGGCTCAGATCTGCAAGTTTGGAGGACTTCCTACGGATAAACACATATGCATGTGTTAGATCTTGTTTCCTTTCACCCAAATACATCAAGCTAACACGGAAGTAACACAAATTGGGAGGATTTTTACCTTCCGCATCGTCACTTTTCAGCTTACTCTACCACGGCTCGGGACTCACAGAGGTTTGTTTGTTGTGGTTCTGGAAGGCTACGGAGACACCTCTTTGAGATGATGCAAGAGCTGCTGTGACATGGAGGTTTGACTTACTGGTTGGGTTACGAGTTTTGAACATGGCAAGCGCTCCGTGAGTCTCTTCAAATTTCCTAGAGTGGGAGACGGAAATTTTTCTTTTCATTTTGGAGAGAAATGGGTTCTGAACTTCTGAGAGATAAGAGAGAGAGATCTGTTATGGAGGTGCAGCTTGCGAGACATAATGCGGTCTAGGGGTTCTAAATGTCATCTGACATAACAATGGGTGACTGTAACACATTCCAGCGTCTCTATTGGAATCCAAAGGAGTTTCTTACACGGATGTATGACACGTGTTTTCATCGTGTGGCCCTGTGTCTCTGTCCGAGAGGGTTATTTTAAACTGGGAAAATACAGTGCCGTTTGGCTCTCGATTTGGTAAAAAGAAAAGAGCCGTTTGGGCTCATTTCCTGACAATGACTGTGAGGACTGCTCGTGATTTTTTTTCTTCAGACATGGGAACTAGCATAATCCCACTTTCCAATGCACATGCCAACTGCATGCCATTCCAATTTCAAATCGGCATCCAATGTTCCTTTCGGTTTCTTTGGTTTGTAGGCTGGGTTATAATCCAAAGGGTCATCACGAGGCTATGTGCATCATTTTGTCACGGCCCAATGTTTCTTATGTCAGGTGATTTTTTATTTGTTATTTGTCCTTTTTGTTATTTTTTTTGTTCTCTTATTTATTTCATTTTTTTTAATTTCTTTGTTTCATTTCTATTTTCCTTTCTCTTTTATTTCTTTGGTCTAGACTTTTGTTTTTATCTTTTCTAGTTTTGCTTTTCGTTTTTTTTTAGTTTATATTTATTTTCCACACCTTGAGGACAAAGTGTGAAATAAGTTTGGGGGTGGGAAAGTAGTAAAAATTTAGGGTTTTTATTTTGTGTCAGTTAAATTTTTTCGTTTTTAAGCTAATATCCATAGATTATTTTAAACATTAGAACAAATGGACATGGTAAAGATTAATCCCACAGTAGAGTCTTTTCTATTTATCGTTACTTAAACACCAATTCACGAATTATACTTTGACAATTGCACATCACACCAACATGGTTTGTGGGGAGTGAGATTGAAACACTTGCTTTTTGTCCAAGTGTATTTTTATTTTTGTTCTAAATAAAGTAAAGTTAGTATGTGTTATAAAGTAATAATTGTCTCACCCGAGGTTCTGCCTAGTAACCGGGCCAGTCCTGCCTAATCAGCAGTGATTCTCGTGTCAAACGGTAGAGTTTTGGCATGAGGCAGGGTGGTTAGTTGGTTTCGTAGCCTTTTCAGCTCGGGTTAATAAGTCCTTAGGGGCCCGTTTGTTTGGCCTCATTAAATGGGACTGGACTGGACTGGATTACAGTCCCATGTTTGATAGGTGCTGGGACTAAGTTAAGTGGGACTAAAGGGGACTCGCACGGACTATCTCTTTCACTAGGAGCTCTTAGCCAATCCCCCCAAAAACCATGGGATTGCTAAGACCATGCTGCGTCTCGTTCTCTCTCTGCGTCGCGTCTTCTCTCCTCATCTGCTCGCTTGCTGTTGCCTACACTCGCGAACTCTCCTCTCCCTGCTTGCTTCATCTGCTCGCTTCGCCGTTGCCTGCCTACACTCTCGAACTCTCCTCTCCCTACTTGCTTCGTCTGCTCACTTCGCTGTTGCCTACATCGCGAACCCAGGATCTTTTCGTCTGGGTTTCGTGATTCAAACATGGGATTTGCACTTCCAGTGAAGTTGGGTTTTGTGATTCAAACGAATTTGGGATTGAATTTGGGTTTTGTGATTTGAATATGGGTTTTTTCAATTCCAGCGAATATGGGTTTTTTTATTTGAGCGAATTTGTGAAGATGTGCAAAATATTGAGATGAAGCTGTGGTTGCAGATGCTCCACATGGGGATTATCAGAAGAACCTAATCGAGCAGACGATGATTCTGGGTTGTGAGGATAACATTTCAAGAAAAAATGGAGGACTTTGTCGGACACAGAAAGTGTTCCGGAAAATGGTAAAGGAAAAAGAAAAAAGAAAAAAAAGAAAAATATTATTTTACTTGTTAGTCCGACACTGGAACAAACGCTTCACTAAATTAATCCAGCTTAGTCTAGTCTAAGCCAGTCTAACTTAGTCCATGAGCTTAGTCCAGTCCGAGATAGTCCAGTACAACAAACGCCCCCTAGGGGTCTTCCACACCTAGTGCCCTAAAGCCCTAGTGGTTTGGGAGTCATTGACCTAAAGCTCGCTACATGGGTTGGATCGAAAGCTTAAGTGAATCGACATTGCACGACCACTACTGTTACTTCAAAAAAAACAAAAACAAAAAAAGAGAGAAAAAAAAAATATCTATGCGAAGTTAGTGTGTGAAGTATGAATAAAGGGATGAGAGAAAAGAGTTTTGGTCGAGTCTCTTTAACTATGTTGGTTCACTTTACACCAAATGAAGTTTGTGAATTCTTTTCTAATTGATTCTAAATGGCTTAGATTTTGTGGTGGTATTGGTTGGAACATTTGAAAAGATGTTCTGATTTTTTAACATTTTCTATGGATTGCAACTTGAAAGTGAGAATTTTGTTTTAGTTAAGTGTCCAGTTTGTTTGTTTTTATTTTTATTTTCTAGTTTTATTTTGCTTGAGGACAAGCAAAAAGCTAAGTTTGGGGGTATTTTGATAAGTGAATTTTATATTATATATTTAATCCTATTCTTAGTATATTTTGGTTAATATTTTGGAAGAATTTTGATACTTTGAATTGTATTTTCAATATAGGACTTTCAACTTCCTCTGGAGCAAAACATGGACAAATGAACGAATTTTGGAGTAATTCCAGTTGGAGGATGTTCGTGAGTCACTTAGCTTGGTCGTATCAAAATTTGGGATTTTTCCATCAAGCGGTTATTTTCTGGCGATAAAATAAAGGAGTGATGCGCGGTGTTAGAAAATGACGTTTATGGGCTTAAAGTGCGTTTTTTGAGCCCAAAATGACCTCGGATGGTTTCATGGCCTTCTGGAGATGTGTTCAGAAGGTCCTTATCTTTAAAACAAGCTGTCTTGGGCCGGATTTGGAGGAGATATAAGGCTAAAACGTGGCTGGACAAGTATTTGGCAGATTCTCCTAGTTTAATTAGGGTTTTATCTTCTAAGATATTTTATTATTTTTCTTAGTTTCCTAGTTGGAATAAGAAACCTATGTCTTAGGGTTTGTGGGGGCTGAGCAAATATATGTCTTTGGCCGTCTACAATTTTTCTCTACGCTTATTATTATTCAACTTCAGAGACAAAGAACTTGGCTAGGGTTGTTGGAGATTTTATACTTTAAGGTGTTTTCATTCCTTTTCTTCTTAATAATATTTTCCATGATTTCAGTTATGAATATGCATAACTAATTTCTTTTGCTAGGGCGAAACCTTGAGCCTTAGCATGAATATGTAATTTTTATTTAATTGCTTATGATTGATTGCATGCGCACTTTGAATTATTGCTCACTGTTTTAAACTATCTAATTATCTTGATGATTGGCCACCATTAGGATGTTTAGACAAGTAATTGGATGCAATTCGGTCGGAATATCACCGGAGGATTGAGTATTGCTTCTTGTGATTGATAATTGTAATTTCATCTAAGGCGAATATCACGTTCTTAGGGGTTGCATGGTTCTTCAAAAGGTTTTCATAAAACTTAATGAGTCTTGCATTTTCATATTTGATCTGAATATCACAGACGGATTGCATGTTAGATATACGTTCTTACTTGAATATCACGAGGAGAATATATATTAGGAAAACCTAACCTTCGAAGTAGCATGTGTAAATCGTAAGTAATTGGTAGAAATTCTTAGGATTGCTAGGTGATGGTGAAACCCTAGTGCCTTTATAAATTGGTATTTAAAACTCTTTTCTTCAATTATTTTAGTTTTTTTTTTAAATTCGTTTTTTTTTATATTACCCATTCTCAAACTTTCTTTTCTCAAGTTTTAATTCTAAGTATTTAATTAGGAATTGTTTCTACACAAATTATCCAAATAGTCCTTGAGAAAAACGACCTTGCATGAGCATCTATACTACAATATCCTTGTATTCTTGCAAGTATTTCATGTGATTTTGACCCTATTTGCATAGACGTTCAAAATCCTATCAATTACCAAGGCGATGATCGTGATAGGCTGATTGGTTGTTTTGTTTTGTTCTTTCATAAATGCTACTCTTACCACCTAGTTATACCATCTCTCTAATAGAGATAGAACCCACATGTGTTGGCAGACCTTAACTCTATTAGAGAGATAATATAAGTGATGTTACAAATAGGTAGTAAGTGTAGTATTTCTCTTGTTCTTTTGATTAGGCTAAACGTTAACTATTCTATTTAAAGTATTAAAAAACATATAATTTTTAAGATGGCGTATCAAATTTAGACTCTTCAAACCAACAAGAGTCAAATTAAAAAAATAATGTCATGACTAATCTATAAGCTACCACACTAACGAATGAATCTAAGAATATGATAGAGTCTAATGC